CCCAAAAAAACGCTTCAATGGTTTCAATAAAGTGCGTCTTTAATAAATCTTTATTATTCTATGTGGAAGTTCGTACGTGGACAAACGCACTTAAAATTTATAGATGCTGTAAGTAGTTTTGAGAAAATTCACAAACGCCTTATTGATGACCTTTACTTTATAGATGATTTAAATGAGGCCCATTTCAATTCCTTTTGAAACCTTAATAGATCTTATTCTTGTCATTATTAGAGCTTGAATGAAGTATTTTGATTTTTCTTGCGACATCATTTGTTTCCCATTGATTCGCTATCGTTTTGTAGTGTTATCCTAATTAACTGTTAAGAACTCGAACTGCTAATCCTCTCGATTAGTTCGATTTACTTACATTGAGCATTACACTCTATCATATTATTAATAGGGTTGATATTAGTAATACATTCTTTATTAATTGAGACCAATATTCAGTACATTGACTTACGTCTTATATTCTGCAAGTTAAAAAATATGTACAAATCAGAGGAACCAATCAAATATCGGCTTTTCCTTGGATGATGAATAGGAGAAATCATATGGTGAACATAGATCAAGCAATATTATGTAAATAATCGTTATTCTTTTCGATCAGAGCACCATAAGACAACTCTTTTAAGGATTTATCGCTAATTTAAATTTTTCCCACTTTGCCTGTGCTGAGAGTCTGGATCAAAACGTTTTGCCCACCTTTGTAAAGAAACCGGTATTTTTTGTTGATCTTAAGTAAATAAAATAAGAATTAGAAATCCTAAATAGAAAACATTTTCTGAGTAGCAAAAATGGATGTTTTGAGAGAGTAATATGTTGCTAAAAAGGATCGCCTGATTAAGATTATTTAGATTGTAGAGACATTAGGTATTTTTTGGAAGCAGGAGAAATGAAAACTTAGCAACGCCTTCGGGAATCGAACAACGGACCTCTGGAATACCGGTCCAGCGTGCAGACCACCACACCACGAAGGCACGCTAGGAAGGCGGGAGAAATACCTTATAAGGTTATGGCAAAACACTCGTAGGTTATCTGCCTAAAAGGGTGGATGCTTCTCTTAAAACAATCTAAGAGAAACTGGTTCATATTCATGCAAGGAGAAAGCTTCGAGAATTGCCAGGCAACCATCCGTTCGACAAGATGTGAATCCAGGTCAAACTACCAGAGTTCAGCGGTTTTACAGCTCAGCCTCTAGTGAACCAGTTTTTTCCACTTTTTAATTTACGTTTTTAACAGAAATATGTAGGTGTGCTTGCGCGCGTGTGTGCGCATGCGCGCGTAAAGGAAAAACTTGTTAACAGGTAGTGAATTTGAAAATAGCTTGAAATGCTTTCATCGGGGCATAAAAACAGCATAAAAATAATAATTAAAAATGTTACATATGAAAAATAATTAACTATCCCTCCGAATTGGAAATGATGCTGAAATTTACTCGTTATAATAAATTACATCAAAATACTTTAGGATCAGTTTCTCTAGAATACCCTATTTTGTTCCTAACGAAAGTGTTTCACTTAACAATGAACATTTAGTATATTATGAAAGTTCTGCTTTATTTTTGAAATTTTTCTTGAATTAATTAAATTATTCTCTTTGCGCTTTTAAAAACCGCTCATGAAATATTACTTTTTTATCTCCCTTTTTATATTCTGAAATTAAATGTTGTTTTGGGGAGGGAGGAACAGGAACAGCTGTGAATGTAAATATTCGCTCATTCAGTTTGTTTGAAAATAGTTTCCCTATTAAATTTTATTTAGTTTGTTTCATGGTTTTGTTTGAAAAAAAATCTTTTTTATTATTATTTCTTTGTAGTAAGTGAGAATTTCATTTTAAAGTACCAAAATTTTATTGTGAATTGATAATGTATCTGCTGCATTCGGAGACAAAGAGGTAGTCTTAAGACTTATATACAATAAATAAACTAGTTCTCAAAATAACTTAATATGTCCTCTTAAATTCTTGATTTTATACCAAAACAAGAAAACGTCTAATTAATCATTTTAATCATATTAGGAAGATGCAGAAATTTATCAACAGTTTTAGAAGAAAATATTTAATAATATTAAACATCATTTTTAATCAATAATTGAATTATTTATATGAATATGACTTACGTAGCAGGTTCTTGACTCCCTTATAACAGAAGTCAATTCGATAATGCCTATTATTATTTTGCTTATGGTTAATAATTTAATTTCAAAATTATCGAAAGACTAACTGGGACTGAAATTTAAATGTCTTGTACTAACTTGGAACTTTTATTTTAACTAAAATATTAATATGGATAAATTTTAAATGTTTATTGAAATGCAGAAAATATAAGCAAGAGCCTTTTGCTTGTTATTGACAGATAATTTAAAATTTTAGTAAATGTTTTAGCAAGCTGAAGTTTTCATTATCACTGCAATACATGATTCGAAGATATTTATGGGTAGAGGCTAAAATGTTTACATTTCTCAGCTACAAACTGAGAATTATTTCAATCATTTATAACAGCAAATGATAAGGATATACTACTGACAACGAGTAGAATTTTCTCGAACATAATAAGAATTATTACCATCAAAATAATGTAAATATTATCAATGTTGTACATATTTCCAATTTTTTGTGTAATATTTTCGAGACAAATTCATTATCTAAGGGATTAATGCACAATAATCTTATTGTTTATTTTCATGAGAATATCGAAATATCCTAGTATCTTATAGTTTAATACAACCTACTAGTATGTCAAATATATTAACACTACATCAAAACGTATTCATATCTTATATACTTTAAAATTTATGAGCATCTTATTATTCTTAGCCACTAGTATTCTAATGCAGTATCAAAATGTTATATTAGTTTACTGAATAAGCAAGAATAATTTTTTAAGATCCCAAGCCTGGAATAATATAACAAGAATAATTTTTAAGATCCCAAGCCTGGAATAATATAACAAGAATAATTTTTAAGCTTTCCAGATCCTTAAGAAACTATCTTCTGCTGGTAGAATGTTATGCTATTTACCTTGAAAATATTTTTTTTTTCAAATTACTATATTAAATGTTTTCGTATATGATCTTGGCTGATGTTTATTAATCGTAAAATTCATTCAATATATTTTCATAGTATATTCGTCCGGAAATAATGGGACTAGAGCTGTAAGGGATGGTATTTGAAATAAATTTGAAAAATATGCATCTATATAATATATAAAGTTTTGTTATATTTAAGATAATTTGTTTATAATGATGCCGCAGTATACATATCGGAACTTCCTTATTAAAGCAACCATCACACAAACCTTTCGTGATAATTAAACGTTGCGCGTTAATAAACTTGCAATTGATTTGCCTATTTTGTAGACAAACCGCGGTGGTGTGTGTGTGTGTATTTAATTATGGCAAAGCTCACTAGGGCTATCTGCCTAAGGGGAGGGATGCCTTCGTGGAGGACTTTCTAAGGGAAACTGACTCGTATACATGTTACACATGGGGAAAACCACGAAAACACCCATGCAGCCAGCCCGTTCGCGGGATTCGAACCTCGGACCGAACTACCAGTGTTCAGCGACTTTACCGCTCGGCCGCTGGTGGGCCAAACCGCGGTGGCTGCTTTAATAAAGAAATGCTGCTATGTAATATCAGCCTTAGAAATATTTGCATTGTTACAGATAACTTTATTTATTTAATTTTAAGTTGTTTCAGTTTATAAACCTCTCGAAGTACTGAATGTTACGCGAATAGTATAAAAATTTACCAAATTACTGATGCATACTAATATAGAATATATTATTTAGTGCAATTTGTTCTTAGTTTGTCATTACTAGTTGTTGACTTCAAATGGAATGGTAGGCATCCTCATTTCTCACTTTAATAGAAAATTATTGTATGAAATTCACTTATGGAATGAAATAAATCAAAATACAAATATTCCCTTTTACACAGATTTATTTCTTACAATTTTGATTTAATGCACTTCAAAACAAACTCGATTTCTGTTTTGCACAATTTATTTTCATCCAACGCGATTCAAATGGCATATTTCCAAAAATTTCCGAGTTTAAGTTTTAAGAAATCTTTCTAATTCAATCTAAAATGTGAACTTTTTAAAACCTTTTGAACCAATATTCTTGTAAAAGCACGGAAGGCACCGAAAAGAAGATACCGAAAAATGTATAGAAGTAATATACAAAGGCTGTGGAGTTCGTATTTCTTTGAACTTTTCGGTTTGTTCACCGACTAATTCTTCTAAGACTTCTATTAATTATTACTTTTATTATTCATCTGTTTACCTCAGCTTGATACCACTCTCTCTTATTTCTGACTTTTTTTATTTGTCGGCTTTAGACTTTGTATCTGAACGAAAATATATCTTAATTACTTCTGATTAAATTAATTAATTATTAATTTAAGTACTTTTGATGATGATACCCTAAAACAAAAGAATAAATAATACCTATTGTTTGAGAAATGCTAAAACAACAAGAAGTTAACTGGGCTGATAATGTAGGAAAATCGACAAATTATAAAATAACAGAAATCAAAAGGAGCACTTATTACAGATACTACACATTCTTCTGTTATTTGCCCTGAAGTATGAAAAAAAGAGACAATTTTAAATACTTGGAAATAATACTTTTTTAAAAAGTTAACATAAATGATTTAATGTTCAAGAATAAATGATTTACTTGAAGTAGTCATCTTTTAAACATGAAAATAGCTGAATGGAGATAATCGAGGAGTATCATAGATGTTTTCCTTTTGTTAAATTTCGTTACCACGTTATGAGCCTTCATTAATACATGTTTCCTTATAATGCCTTCCGAAGTTCTAAACCAGTTAAGAAATAGTTTGAAAGATTCCGGGGTGTTATTTTTAATGCTTGCTCTTAACGGGGGAACAGCGAATGGAGGCTGGAAAGCATAATTTCAGTTATTAAATAATGTTGCATATAATTTGACCTGTCTGATATTCTTTAGACGGTTTTCTCTTTCTTTTTCTCTTCAGGTTTGGATAAGATGAAGAGTTGCATCTCGTTCCGGTGCATCTGGCTGTGTTTCAAGGCATTAAGTGGTGGCGTCCTCCTGATTGCCATCGGCGTCGGCATGACCGTCTTCGGCTTTTACGCCGATCATTTCGCCGTCCAAGAGCACCTCGATGAGGACACTAACAAGACTGTGAGCGTGGTCAACGAGCACCTCAAGCTGCACATCCACAATCTCACGTATGTGGGGCCTGTGTTCATGGGCCTCGGGGGCATGCTCATCGTGGCCGCCTGCGTTCTCACTTTCGATGGAAATGAGGACGATCCAAAGGGCCCCAGGAACAGGAGGCCTTCCGACGCCGAAGGCACAGAGCATCTGATCACCGATGCTACTAAGGCGGAACGGTGCAACGGGCCAGTAAGCCCTTTCCTAAATCTGGACGCTCCTCCCGCCAGTATTCCGGATAAAGGCGGGGGTGGTCAGGAAGTGGTGACAGTCGCTGAGGTTGTTCGAAATCCAATCATTCCGAACGGTCCGAGCAGGTCCAGACCACAACTGCCTCTACCGGTCTCACGAAACGACGCTGTCTCGCCTGCCGAGGCACAGCCCCTGTCTTCGTCCAGTCTCAACTCGCCGCCACCTCGAGTGGCCATACGCCAGAAGAGGAAGAACAGCCGCCATTTCTTGAGTCCCCTCTTCGACGAGTTTGTGCCCTCCCCGCAGGACATTCAGATTCTGGACCCGGATGGCTGCACCCCGGACGCCGCTTGCGCCCTCGAGATGGACGTTTTCAACCGAACCACTAAGTGCCCACCGCGACTCCAGCTGGAACCCCGGTACCTGGCGTCCATTGAGAGTGACGGACTCTCGGACAGTGACACGGCGGAGTCCGAATTCACCCTCAGCAGCAGCGTCCGGGGGGGCCTCAAGGGCCGGTTCTGCTCACCCTGCGAAATCGAAGAGCAGGATATCCCTTTGCTGAGCAGGTGTAGTCCCCCTTCCTCGCCAGAGTATCCTATGGAACCTTTGCTCAAACGGGACCGGTCCGGACTGCGCAGGTTCCAACTGATGCGACAGGCTCCCAATTCACGGACGCTCTTCGACGGACCCTCGTCCGAAGGGGGTTCCAGGTAGGAAAGGGAGAAAGCTGGTTCATCCCCCCTCACTAGAGTCACGCCTTTTGGATACATACGCCGTGTTTTCCACTTTTTTACTCAAGTTGAGGTTCTACGCCATAAGGGAAAATCAAAGGTAAGAAACATTTTGCATTTTTTTAAAGTGTGTCTTTAATCGCATAGTTTCGTTTATCTCCAGTGTGAATGTGTTTCCAACATCGAACTTTTAAAGAGCATTCTTATCGGTGTAGTTGCTTCTCTTACATAAAGCTATAAATCTGAAGCGAGCTGAAAGACATATATGCTCTATACTAGTTGTGATTTCTAGAACAAGATCAGTACCTTTTATTTGTATTTTGAATAATTTACAGTTTTATGGTAAGTTTAAAGGATTGCAATTAGTTCATTTTTAATCTCAATTGCGTTGCTTTCCTAAAAAAGCAGCACATTTTACGATGTTTTTAAAAAGCAGCACATGATGTTCCTCTACTACCTGAGAGTAATATTTGCGTGCAAATTTAATTACACAAAATGTATTTGTACTTCATAAACGATTCATTACATAAACGTACCCCTGGTATTAATAAGTCAATTGAAAAATATATTTAATGATAATAATATTTAATGATCAAACATAATATATATGGAATTGGAACAATAATTTAATAAATTTAAATACTCTTTCTACAAAAAAATCAATATTACTGTACTAACGAGAAAGGATATTTCGAATTTAAAGTAAATTTCTGCAAGCATTTTTTCGTACATGTATATTACATATTACATCTCAAAAGAAAGGACTACTTAGGAAAATCATTAATATGCAATGGATGTAGAAGTTTTCCTGAATATATCCCAAAGCACGGTATGAAATGGAAGAGAGACTACTGATAGAAAGTTGTCTTATTTACAAGAGGAAATATTTATTATTATTTATATGTTATCTTTACCTCGCTTATAATTTTTAATCGCTTTTGAAGCCTCGGAACAATATTCTAATTCCATCGTTAAGATCTTCTGCTTTAAATCAATTATATACTAATCATTATATTTGCGGACACAAATGCTCTTAATAAACTAATATGCAAAACATATCCTATAATTCCTGTTTAAAATTTGATTATAAATTAAAATAGAATTAATCAACATCATGTAACTAACTATTTACAGTGAAAACGTGTAAATTTTTAATATGAATGTTTAGAATAATAAATCACATAGCTGCAAGACGATAACGTGCTCAAGTGTTAAACGAATTTTAAATTTTCCATTACGATTAAGTTGAACTTTCTGAGGATTTGCAGTTTTTTACCTATTTAGTTATTAAAGGTATTTTTCAGAATAATATTTTGGTTTTGTAAACTGTTTTGTACCGATAAATGAAAAAAAATGTTACCTCTACGAAAGAGCTGTAAATTTCTTCTAAAACTTGAAAAATATATGTTATATCCGTAGCAGTACGAAAACATTTAAAAGAGATTTTAAACGAAATGCGCTGCTTAAGTTTTAAAATTCGTAAAAGAAAAGCGAGAGTAGTTTCAAAGAAAGCTATGTTTCATAACTTTATCTCCTCAAATACAATTAAATAAAAAATCTGCTTTATGAGCGCGAAATAAAAACCATTTTCACCAGAATCTTTTTTATTTAAATTTAAGTACAACAAATACTTAAGATTATACTCTATACAGTATAACCTCTTAGCTTAAACTGTTTTGTTAAGTAATTTATGTAGAGTTTTGTGTCAAATCAGAAAGTCATTGCTAGTAACAAATTAAAGTGTAACACAAATACGAATCAAATAAAAACTTTATTACCACGACGTATGCGTTTAAAAGCTACTGAGAATATAAGCTGCTTATTGCAGGTCAACTATAACTCTCACCAATGTCCCAAAGCAAAAAAATCAACTTTATTCAGATATAAGCATTTAGAATTATTTTACACTAATCAACTTGTTTACACTTGTCATATAACAAGTATCAGTAACAACAATTAGCTATATTTAGAAATAAACAGTCAACTGAAATTTTTGGTCAAATATAAAATTAATAGTTAAGAAATCGAAAGAAAAGAATCATAACGATAATTCATTTCATAACATGTTAAATTACGTAATTAAATAATTGTTAATTATATAATGATTTAATGAATAAGTAAATCCTATTTGTTAACTCAAACTATGCCCCTAACCTCATTTTTACCTTAGCCAATTTATATCTCCTCCTGAAACCAACTCTTACGCAACTTAATCAGACAGGATAGAACAAAATTCAAAAACTGCTCAAGAATTTATAAATGGTAGTACAGAATTCAGATTAGATACGGTAAGAAGCTCAAGTGAGAAATTAGAGAAAGCAAAGTGAAGTTTCTTCTTACGTACAACGGTGAAATACATTAAAGCTAATATCTACAGATTGGTAGCAACATTAAAGTTATGAGCAGTTATTAGTAAAGTACAGAATTTACCATTTGACATTGAAGATAGTTTAAGTCTTTGATCAAATGTAAAAAAGCACTTGAGCATTTACGAAAAATAATAATAAGATCGCTTGGTTAATAAAAACAGCACTGACAACTGCTTTTAATCATTAAATCTTTGATTAAACTAGTAACTCAAAAATACCGTGAAATGTATTGATAATTTTATACAAGTATTCCATAAAAGCGGAAAATTATATTTTGGTAACACATTCATATTAAAATGCCTCTAAAATGATATTGATACATTGACTGTTTAATAAATACTGGTATAACTTGTGCTGTAGCATAAAATACATATATAATTTGACTTTTACTCGCTCTTATACGGAAAAGGAGTTTCTCGCCGTTGCTCCATCATGACCTCAATAATTCAAAGGTTCTTTGATATCGTAATTGAATACAACTCATAACTCCAATAAATGTGATATGTTGCCATTTTTGTCATTCTGAATTACTATCCTTGGAATGATGTAACTGGTTTCCGTTGCCGTTGCTATTATCTGAAGATTATTACAGCACTGTTCCTTTTTCAGATTCTCGCCTGAAGCTTTTACAGTTGCTTTTCTGGTTTTAGAATGTTAGTTTTACGTATTCTTTTTTTTTTGTGAGTGGGATTTAAAAAACGTTAGTTTTAGATAAATTGCGTGGCTGAAACACATACATGTAATTTTCATATACGTTATCTTCCACATTAGTGAAACTGTGGTCTTGAATTATTTATAAGGTTCCTCCCACCAGAAGATAACCCTTTGTCAGTAACTACAATATCAATGTTAAAACAATAACAGAAGTACTATACACGCCCTTTTGTCAGAATTTTGGCACCAATTTATTTTTTTAAAACCACCGAAAACATAAACAACAGGTGACTGAAGCACTTCGTAAGTTTCTGTAGATGGTTTGCGTTTTGAAAGCAAAACTGAATAGCATAACGCGACTTAAAAATATCGAAATTTTTCAAAGCAACTACGTTACGGTCGACCATTATTTACTACGTTGTATTATATGGCAAATGAAAGTTGATTCGACTGCCCTTTCTTGATGCAAATGGTGATCTTTTTCATACTGAGTATTTTGTTCTCTAGATACGTTTATAACTAAACAGCATCTGTACATTTTTACAGAAAGTAATATTATTCTTATTGAACAACTTACGTAGATAAATAAAAAGGTAATGAATTTAGAGTAAACGATATTTATAAAGATTTTAAGTCATCAAGCGCTAATTATTAAATACTAGCGAAACAAATCGCTTCGACAAAAATAACCACCCGGTTAAACAGATTTTAAACGTTACTTTCCTCTATTTTGCAGATTAGTCTAGCTCTAGAATTGCGAATCAGCCTCAATCACGCTCATAAAAACGTGACTCGCTTTCTAATTGAATCTAGCTCATTAATGCCCTGTAGATTTAATGAAGGCGTGGCGGACACCATTTTTTATGCGGTTAGAATGTTTTCGAACATTTCGCGTCGAGATCCCAAGAGCTAGTGATCTTCATTCTGTGTGCTTATCTAATAGAGATTCTACTGAAGCAATTTAATAGAACGCAAACTAATTACGCAAGCTATGAAAAGATGGTGGTTCTTTTACTTTCTGATAAGAGTTGACACGCATTTCACTTTGCACAAGAAGGTAGAAAATGTTCGCATTTAATGGGAGTCTAATGTTCACTTTGCGACGTGCCATTATCGATTCCCTGAACATGCGTCCTTGAATAAACGGCACTAATCAATGAAGTTCTTTCATTCAGACACAATGTATTATCCTCATTATAATCTTCGGAAAGTGCTTAAAAGCATCTGAGGAAATATCATGCAAGATTGAGTCTGCCACACCAAAAGTTAAAAATGAATGATTATATCAATAATAAAATCATGATAGTTACAAAATCACTTGTAACTTGATTTTTTTATTTCATCTTAGCGCACGAAAGATGTCAGCAATTGATAATATTCTTATTTCATGCGTTTCCAAAAATGTCTATCAAACTATTGAAATTATTGTTTTCACGCAATATGAAATATTCATTTGCATGACAGGTAAATTAAAAAAGAATTATATGCTTGCTCTGTAAACTTTTATCCAGTTTTTAGCAACTGAAAGACTCGAAAATTAGATCGCACACGGCAAATGCTTTTCTACTAAATTCATGTTTACAGCGGTACATTTGACATTCTTCTCTCCATTCGAACAAATTTGCAGAGCCACCACATGAATCTGTAGCCATCATACTTTAGCTCCAAAAAGAAGACTTTTTACATCTCGTTTCATTTTAACAAAAATTATCAATTACAGTGCAACGCTAACTCTTTCGTCCAATCTTCATCGTATGACTTATTATGACAATTTTCAGATGTATGGTATGAAATTTGTGAACACATATTCTAGCTATTCCTCATACTTGTGAAGTCTGTAATATTTTCTAACTGCTCAATAAAATCTAAGTGAAATTCAGTGTTCTGATGCGTTGCTCAAGACATACTTATGAGATCTTGCAAACATATAACGTCTTTAGACAAAGGAATAATGCTCAACTCATGTCAATGTTTTTATCTAATAAAGCTTGACGCCACAGCTTTGAAAGAACTAGTAAACAGGGCTGATACTTTTGCATGGAAGTTTCAAATTTATCATATTGTTGCGTACGTACGG